GCCCTGATCCCAAAATCGCCTCAAAAATCCCCAAAAAATTCCCCAAAAACTTTTAAAAAATCCCAAAAAATCCCAAAAAAATTCCTAAAAAAATCCCAAAAAATCCAAAAAAATTCACAAAAAATTCCCAAAAAAAATCCCAAAAAATTCCTAAAAATTTTTAAAAAATCCCCAAATAATTCCTAAAAAAAATCTCCAAATAATTCCTGAAAAATCCCAAAAAATCCCAAAAAATTCCTAAAAAATTCCTAAAAAATCCTTAAAAACTCAAAAAAAATCCTAAAAAAAATCACAAAAAAATTTCCAAAAAATCCAAAAAAAATTCCTAAAAAGTCTCAGAAAAAATCCAAAAAATTCCTTAAAAAAAATCACAAAAAAAATCCAAAAAATTCCCCCAAAAATCCCCAAAAATTCCTAAAAAAATCCCGAAAAACTCAAAAAAAATCCGAAAAAATCCCGAAAAAATCCCAAAAAATTCACAAAAAATTTACAAAAAAATCCCAAAAAATTCCTAAAAAATCCTTAAAAAGTCACCAAAAAAACCCCCAAAAATTCCTTAAAAAATCCCCCAAAACTCAAAAAAAATCCTAAAAAATCACAAAAAAAATCCAAAAAATTCCTAAAAAATCTCAGAAAAAATCCAAAAAATTCCCCAGAAAATCCCCCCAAAATTCCTAAAAAAATCCCGAAAAACTCAAAAAAAATCCTAAAAAAATCCAAAAAAAATCCCAAAAAATCTCCGAAAATCCCCAAAAATCCCCCAAAAATTCCCAAAATTCCCAAAAAAATTCCCAAAATTCCCTCAAATCCCAAAAACCCCCAAATTCCCTCCCAAATAATTCCCATTTTCCCTCCTGCAGGCGGCTCTGCGCTTCCTGGGCGTGGCCCTGGGCGTGGCCGGCCCCGCCCTTTCCGGCCGAGGCTCCGCCCTTTCCGGCCGAGGCTCCGCCCTTTCCGGGCTGTGCCGGGCGGGGCTCGGAGCCCGCGACGATCCCGGGATTCTCGGAGCCGCCCTGGGAGCCCTGGGGGCGCTGGCGGCCGCCCTGGGAGCCAAAAAAACCGTGAGTGACCCCAAATCTGGGGGTTTTCACCCAAAATTTGGGGGTTGGGACACAAAATTTGGGGATTTTGACCCAAAATTTGGATTTTTTGACTCAAAATTTGGGATTTTTAAACCAAAATTTGGAGTTTTGGACGCAAAATTTGGGATTTTTTACCCAAATTTGGCGTTTTGGACCCAAAATTTGGATTTTTTGACCCAAAATTTGGAATTTTTGACCCAAAATTGAGGGGTTTTGAGCCAAAATTTGGGATTTTTTACCCAAAATTTGGGATTTTTGACCCAAAATTTGGATTTTTGCCACAAAATTTGGGATTTTTGACCCAAAATTTGGGATTTTTGACCCAAATTTGGCGTTTTGGACCCAAAATTTGGATTTTTTGTCACAAAATTTGGGGTTTTTCACCCAAAATTTGGATTTTTTGGCCCAAAATTGGGGTTTTTGACACAAAATTTGGATTTTTTTAACCCAAAATCGAGGGGTTTTGAGTCAAAATTTGGATTTTTTGGCCCAAAATTTGGAATTTTTGACCCAAGATTTGGATTTTTTGACCCAAAATTTGGATTTTTAACACAAAATTGAGGGGTTTTAAGCCAAAATTTGGGGATTTTGACCCAAAATTTGGGGGTTTTGACACAAAATTGAGGGGTTTGGACCCAAAATTTGGAATTTTTGGCCCAAAATTTGGGACTTTTAAACCAAAATTTGGATTTTTAACCCAAAATTGAGGGGTTTTGAGCCAAAATTTGGATTTTTAACACAAAATTTGGGATTTTTGACCCGAAAATTTTTAACACAAAATTTGGGATTTTTGACCCGAAATTTGCATTTTTTGGACCAAAATTTGTTATTTTTGACAGAAATTTTGGAATTTTTGACCCAAATTTGGACTTTTTGACTCAAGATTTGAGATTTTTGACACAAAATTTGGATTTTTTGACCCAAATTTGGATTTTTTGACCCAAAATTTGAGATTTTTGACACAAAATTTGTAGTTTTGGACACAAAATTTGGATTTTTTGACTCAAAATTTGGAATTTTTGACCCAAAATTTGGGATTTTGACCCAAAATTTGAATTTTTGACACAAAATTCGGGATTTTTGCGACAAAATTTGGGGTTTTTCAGCCAAAATTTGGGGGTTTTGACCCAAAATTGAGGGGTTTGGACCCAAAATTTGGATTTTTTGACCCAAAATTTGGAATTTTTGACCCAAATTTGGATTTTTGACCCAAAATTTGGGGGTTTTGACCCCAAATTTGGGACTTTTAAACCAATTTTTGACCCAAATTTGGATTTTTGACCCAAAATTTGGGGGTTTTGACCCCAAATTTGGGACTTTTAAACCAAAATTTGGATTTTTAACCCAAAATTGAGGGGTTTTGAGCCAAAATTTGGGATCTTTAAACAAAAATTTGGCGTTTTTGACCCAAATTTGGGATTTTTGACTCAAAGTTTGGGATTTTTGAGACAAAATTTGGGGATTTTGACCCAAAATTTGGATTTTTTAATGCAAAATTGAGAGGTTTGATGCAAAATTTGGATTTTTTGACCCGAAATTTGAAATTTTTGACACAAAATTTGGAATTTTTGACCCAAATTTGGGGGTTTTGACACAGAATTGAGGAGTTTGGCCCAAAATTTGGCATTTTTAAACCAAAATTTGGGTTTTTCGCCCAAAATTTGGGGGTTTTGACCCAAATTTGGCGTTTTGGACCCAAAATTTGGATTTTTTGACCCAAAATTTGGATTTTTTGACCCAAAATTTGGGGGTTTTGATACAAAATTTGGATTTTTCACCCAAAATTTGGGATTTTGGACCCAAAATTTGGATTTTTTGACACAAAATTTGGATTTTTTAACCCAAAATTGAGGGGTTTTGAGCCAAAATTTGGATTTTTTGACACAAAATTTGGATTTTTTAACCCAAAATTGAGGGGTTTTGAGCCAAAATTTGGATTTTTTGGACCAAAATTTGGAATTTTTCACCCAAAATTTGGGGATTTTGACCCAAATTTTGGAATTTTTGACCCAAATTTGGGGTTTTTCACCCAAAATTTGGATTTTTTGACAAAAAATTGGAGTTTTTTGACCCAAAATCGGGATTTTTTTTGCCCCAAAATTCATATTTTTGGACACAAATTTTGGGGTTTTTGGAGCAAAATTTGGAGTTTTTGGGGTAAAAATTGGGAATTTTGACAAAAATGGGAATTTTTTGGGGTAAAAAATGGGAATTTTGGGTTAAAAATGTGAATTTTTGGGGTTAAAAATGGGAATTTTTTGGGGTAAAAATGGGAATTTTTTGGGGTAAAAAATGAAAATTTTTGGGTTAAAAAATGGGAATTTTTGGGGTTAAAAAATGGGAATTTTGGGGTTAAAAATGGGAATTTTTGGGTAAAAAATGGGAATTTTTTGGGTTAAAAAATGGGAATTTTGGGTTAAAAAATGGGAATTTTTGGGTTAAAAAATGGGAATTTTTGGGGTTAAAAATGGGAATTTTTGGGTTAAAAAATGGGAATTTTTGGGTTAAAAAATGGGAATTTTGGGGTAAAAAAATGGGAATTTTTGGGTTAAAAATGGGAATTTTTTGGGTTAAAAATGGGAATTTTGGGGTTAAAAAATTGGAATTTTGGGTTAAAAAATGGGAATTTTGGGGTTAAAAAATGGAAATTTTTTGGGTTAAAAATGGGAATTTTTTGTGTTAAAAATGGGAATTTTTTGGGTTAAAAATTGGAATTTTTTGGGTTAAAAATGGGAATTTTGGGGTTAAAAAAATGAGAATTTTTGAGGCTAAATCCCCAATTTTGGGGAGTTTTTAACCCTTTTTTTTCCAGTTTTTTAACCCAAATTTTCCCATTTTTTTTTTTTTTCCCCAGAAATTCCTTCAATCTCTGGTCCCTGAAATCCTCCAGGCTCTCCAGGATCTCCTGAACATGGATGAGGTAAAATTTTGGGGAAAAAAGGGAAAGATTTGGGAAAAAAATTGGGAAAAATTTGTGAAAAATCAAAAAAAAAATTAAAAAAAATCCAAAAAAAATTAAAAAAAAATCCAAAAAAAATTCAAAAAAAATCCAAATTTAGGGAAAATCCAGGGAAAAATTTATGGCTAAAATGGTGAAATTTGAAGGAAAAAATCTGAAGTTAAAATTTGGGAGAATTTTGGGAAAATTTGGGCTTAAAAATGAGGAAATTTTGGGTCGAATTCCGGGAATTTCCAGGATCGCGGCGCTGACGCTCTGGAAGTCCTGGATGAATTCTTGGAAGCCAATCCTGAATCCATGATCCCACACCTCAGGCCCATGCTGGAGCTTTGCCTTCAGGTAAATCCCAAAAATTGGGAGTTTTCCAGAGGAAATTTGGGAATTTTTAAACCAAAATTTGGGATTTTTGGCCCAAAATGGAATTGGGACACCAGGTCTACCCATTGAAATCAATGGGATGGGAGGGACACCAGGTCTACCCATTGAAATCAATGGGACGGGAGGGACACCAGGTCTACCCATTGAAATCAATGGGATGGGAGGGACATCACGTCTACCCATTGAAACTAATGGGATTGGAGGGACACCAGGTCTACCCATTGAAACTAATGGGATTGGAGGAACACCAGGTCTACCCATTGAAATCAATGGGATGGGAGGGACATCACGTCTACCCATTGAAATCAATGGGATGGGAGGGACATCAGGTCTTCCCATTGAAATCAATGGGATGGGAGGGACATGAGGTCTACCCATTGAAATCAGTGGGATGGGAGGGACACCAGGTCTACCCATTGAAATCAATGGGATTGGAGGGACATCAGGCCTTCCCATTGAAATCAATGGGATTGGAGGGACACCAGGTCTACCCATTGAAATTAATGGGATTGGAGGGATGCCAGGTCTACCCATTAAAGTCAATGGGAATTGTTAGACATCAGGTCTACCCATTAGAGTCAATGGGATTAGAGGGACATCAGGTCTACCCATTATGGTCAATGGGGATGAAGTGTCACCAGATCTACCCATTGAAGTCAACAGGGATCCTTGGACATCAGGTCTACCCATTGAAGTGAATGGAGATTATTGGACATCAGGTCTACCCATTGAAGTCAATGGGGTTTGAAGCAACACCAGGTCTACCCATTAAGGTCAATGGGAATCAAAGGGACACCAGGTCTACCCATTGAAGTCAATGGGGATTATTGGACGCCAGGTCTATCCATTAAAATTAATGGGATTAGAGGGACATCAGGTCTACCCATTGAAGTCAATGGAGATTATTGGACATCAGGTCTACCCATTGGAGTCAATGGGGATTGAAGCGACACCAGGTCTACCCATTGAAGTCAATGGGAATTTAGAGACAGCAGCTCTCCCTTCCATCCTTCCTCCAATTCCCAGGATTTTGGGGCAATTCCCAGGGATTTTTTGGGAATTCCCCCCCTTCCCCTGGAGCATTTTTTGGGACTCCCCAGCTGGGATTTCCCCCTCAGGTGGCCGGGGACGAGTGCAGGGGCGACGCCGTGCGAGTTCGGGCGCTGGCCACCGTCACCTTCCTCGCCCAGAAGAGACCCAGGGTGAGACTGGGAGCCACTGGTTTATACTGGGAGCCACTTTCTGACTCCTAAAACCCTCAAAAACGGGGGAAAAAACGCTGATTTTCATACTGGTTCTTACTGGTTTTTACTGGTGCAGGCTTTGCTACGAGGGAACCTCCTCTGCCTGGTCCTCAGGGGGCTCCTGGTCCCTCTTTGTGCCGAAATCCGCCCGGAAAATCCCGATCCCGAGGAAATTTGGGATGAAGATGAAGGGGGACAGGGGCCCTGCCCCCGCCACGCCGCCGCCCAGGTGGGAATTCCTAAAAAATTCCCAAAATCTTGCAGCTTTCCCCATTTTTATTTGGAGTTTTTACCCGTTTTTTGTTGGATTTCGGGGGATTTTTACCATTTTATTGGGAATTTTCCCAAATTTGGCAGAATTTTGGGTGAATTTTGGGGATTTTTTCCCATTTTTTGGGGAATTTTCACAGAGTTTTGGGTGAATCCTGGGGATTTTTCCCATTTTTTGGGGGATTTTTCCCATTTTTGGGGGGAATTTTCCTAAATTTCACAGAATTTTGGGCGAATTTTGGGGATTTTTCCCATTTTATTGGGAATTTTGCAGAATTTTGATTTTGGGCGAATTTTGGGGATTTTTCCCATTTTATTGGGAATTTTGCAGAATTTTGGGTGAATTTTGGGGATTTTTCCTGTTTCTTTGGGACTTTTCCCAAATTTTGAGGATTTTTTCCCATTTTTTGGGGAATTTTCCCAAATTTGGCAGAATTTTGGGTGAATTTTGAGGATTTCCCCCATTTTTTGAGGAATTTTCCCACTTTTCACCCATTTCCATCCAATTTATCCCCAAATCCCCCTTTTTCCATGGATTTTTCCCCAAATTCCCACCATTTTACCCCAAAATTCCCTCACTTTTCCCAAAATCCCCCAAATTTTCCTGAAAATCTTCTCATTTTCCCCAAAATTTTCCATTTTTAATCAAATTTTAAACCCAAATTTCATCGTTTTGCTGCAAATTTTCCCAATTTTTTTGCTCTTTTCCCATTTTTTTTTTAAGATTCACCAAATTCAGGGAGAAATTCCCAATTTTTGATGGGAATTTTGCCCAAATTTGGGAGTTTTTGACCCAATTTTCTTCCCCCCTCAGGCTTTGGACGCTTTGGCTCAGGGGTTGCCCCCGGAAAAACTGCTGAAAGAAGTGGTGAGTTTTGAGGGGAAAAATGGGAATTTTTTAAGGGAATTCTCGGGAATTTGGAGATTTTTGAGAATTTTTGAGAATTTTGGGAATTTGGGGAATTTTTCCCGGATTTTTAAAGTTTTTTTTTAAGGAATTTTTTGGGTTTTTTTACGTCATTTCAGGACCTTTTTTCGGGAAGAATTCGGAGAATCCTGAGGGGAATTTTGGGGAGAATTGTGGAGATTTTGGGGTCGGGGTTGGATTGAAAAAATTGGGAATTTTTGGGAATTTTTCGGGAATTTTTTTCATTTTTTAATAATTTTTTTTAAATTTTCAGGGTGGATTTTTGACCTTTCAGGACCTTTTTTGGGCGGGAATTTGGGAGATCCTGAGGGGAATTTTGGGGAGAATTGTGGAGATTTTGGGGTCAGGGTTGAATTGAAAAAATTGGGAATTTTTGGGGAATTTTTCGGGAATTTTTTTCATTTTTTGATAATTTTTTTTAAATTTTCAGGGTGGATTTTTGACCTTTCAGGACCTTTTTTGGGCGGGAATTCGGAGAATCCTGAGGGGAATTTTGGGGAGAATTGTGGAGATTTTGGGGTCGGGGTTGAATTTAAAAAATTGGGAATTTTGGGGGAATTTTTGGGAATTTTTGGGGAATTTTTTGGGAATTTTTTGGGAATTTTTTTCATTTTTTAATAATTTTTTTTAAATTTTCAGGGTGGATTTTTGACCTTTCAGGACCTTTTTTGGGCGGGAATTTGGGAGATCCTGAGGGGAATTTTGGGGATAATTGTGGAGATTTTGGGGTCGGGATTGAATTGAAAAAATTGGGAATTTTTGGGGAATTTTTCGGAAATTTTTTTCATTTTTTAATAATTTTTTTTGAATTTTTAGGGTGGATTTTTGACCGTTCAGGACCTTTTTTGGGCGGGAATTTGGGAGATCCTGAGGGGAATTTTGGGTGGAATTTTAAGGATTTTGGGCTCAGAATTTCCTTGATGGATTTGGGAATTTTTTTTTACATTTTTAACGAAATTTTTTTAATTTTTTAATCAATTTTTTCACGAATTTTAAAATTTTTTTCCCGCCCTTTCAGGACCTTTTGAGGTCATTTTACGACTTTTGAGGCGAATTTTGGAAATTTTGGGGTCAGAACGCCCAAAAATCGTAAATTTTGCGTTAAATTCACCAAAACTTGAAAAAAACTCGGTGATTTTCCCCTCAATTTTATTCAAATTTTATTTATTTTTAATCCCGATTTTTTTCCTTATCGACCTTCCAGGACCTTTCCGCATGGAAAACCTGGAAAAATCCGGGAAAAAAACCCCAAAAAACCCTGGAATTTTCCCCTCTTTTGGGCGAAAAACGGGAATTTTCCGGCAATTTCATGTTTTTTACACCCCATTTTGGTGCAATTTCCGCCGATTTCGGTGCATTTTTTACCAATTTCCATGAATTTCGCGCTGCTTTTGATGCATTTTCAGGCGTTTTTCGCTAATTCCCGCTCTCTCCACCCGTTTTTCCCCGGTTTTTTTCCCTTTGCCTTCCTCCCCCTCACTCTCCGCTCCCCCCCCG